ACCATTAGTTATTTTGATAAGTTTGACTTGATAGTGTACTTTATCTACGTATTAAAGCCCATCATGATATTTGAGTGCAAACAAGATGCTGCCACGTGTATGAAATTGGTTAAAATTGTATGTTTAGTTGACACGTGTTGATGAGATATGGAAGAAGTAAATGTTGATTTGCATGGAATTTCGGGATAAAGTTTTCAAGTCATTGACATCAAATATTTGTTACTTGGGATACGTTTCTTCAATCCTAGGTACACTAGGATTCAATTATTTTTACACTATATATACCTAGGTATAGTCATTGTATTTTTCACCAAAAAAAAAAAAAAGAAGAGAGATAAGAAGAGTGGGCGACTACCTTCACGTGAAAGAAAGAAAGAAAAAAAGTGTTGAAAGTCAAAAAGTGCAATACATTTTTGTCAATAACGGGGTAAGATACCTTTGTGCAAGTCGATGTTTCCTTATGTTTTATATTCAATAATTTATGCATGAATTACCAGTGGACCTTCGGGTTCGACCTAACGCAATGTGAAATCTTTTGGGAAATTCAAAATGAAAAATGATGGATATCTCGCTTAGTCACCGATATACTTCATAGAGAGAAATGTGATATGAATTGTCTATGTTATTGTTATATAATTGCGTATGGAAACTGCACGTATCTTACATGATATTTTTAAATACTCACTCTTACTATGATTTTTTAGGTTAGTTCGGACCGATTGGAATTGTAACGAATGGTGCAGCGAACTGCAAAGGGATTTCTATATATGCGAAAAACACTAAGTTTTTCTACCTTGAGATTTATTAGTTTGATTTGTTCAAATATTATTATTGAATTAGTTAGTTAAAAATGTAATTATTTTTGTTAAAAATACGATTTCATGATTTAAATGTAAGTTTATGAATGTTCCAATATTTTGTTTATTAAAAAATTCTATATTTTATCGTTCCACAAGGAAATTGAATTTTTTGTAACACCCCAGTGTTTGTGAAAATTTGGGGCGTTACATTCACATTACTTTTTTATTCACACATTTTGAGAGATTAACAAGTATTACATACTAATTTTTATCTATTTATAAATTAAACCATTTTCAAGCACTTCGAAAAAATTTCTTATTGTAATGTGTAGTGTGGTTATGAAATTTGAAAAACAAAATTCTATAAAATTATGTATTAAAGGTACTAAATAAATATAATTGTAACTAAGCCCTATTTGATTGAGATTAAAATCAATTTTTTAGTAGATTTTGATAATTATTGATGAAATGTTTCACCAAACATGGACTAAATAAATTAAATATGATATGTTTTTATAGTATTTTGGTAAACTGATACTAATAGAGCAACGATATGAAAGATGTAAAAAAGATTATTAGAGAGTTGGATTTTTACTCATCCTACGTGCTAGACTATCTGTGACAATGCATTTGGTTCGTAGTCTACTTGTGTGAGTAGCAATTTGGCTTGTTTCAACACAAATCCGTAACCCAATTTGAGCTTCGCAAGTAAAGCTCTTAGATTTCACTAATCGGCTCAACTATGATTTCGATTTATTTTTCTTATTTAATTACATTAAATTTTCTATTTTTATCCTATTTAATTTTTCTATATGTAAAAATGAGAAAGGTCCATGGTCAGGGTCAGCTAATCTTTGTACTTGGTCAACAAACCGAGCACGGATGGCCCTTTATTTTCTTATTTAGCACCTTCACATGAAAATGATCCACATTTTTTTTGTGAATCATGTGTTCGAGTTTTGCTAAATTAATCCTAAGGAGTGGCGACCTTCCTCTCTGGTTCGCCACCCGGGTAAAGTCGAACGTGATCATAAGTTATACACACTTGGGCCGGACATTCGGGAAGCAATTCTCCTCCCTGTGAATCTTCCTTTACAACATGCGGACATGACCTCTAGAGGGACGACAAAGCACACCACATTTTTTAACCATACATTTCATTGGGTTTTATCAAAATCAAATTTAATATCCGCCAAACAAGGCTTAAAAAAGTAATCCAACGACCTGTTCAGATAGGATCTGTAAACTGTGAGCTTAACTAGGTCTTAACTGGGTCGATCCTTGTGTACGAGCTTGAATCTGTCCATTTAGAGTTATGTATTGCAAAATATTGAGTTAAATCTTTCATTAGCCACTGAACATTGGACCATGTCACGGCTTACTATCAAACTTATCCCACTAGCCACTAAACTTTAATCCGTTATCGCCTATTACTCATCGGCTAAAATCTATTAATTGACGTGTCTAAGTAGCAGACGAAAAGTCTAGTTGGT